AATTACCAATCAAGAATCCTCTACCCAGAAAATGTATCCTTCAAAATAAATAGGGGAAAAAAGTCCTTCACAAACAAGCAAAAATTTAGGGAATTCATCATCACCAACCCAGACATAGAAGAAATCTTTATGAGAGTCTTACTTTTGGGACCAAAAGGGTAAAAACTATCATCATGAAAATACTTGAAGATAAAAAAATGTACTGGTAGACTAGAAACACAAATGAGGAACAAAAGAATCAAACTTTATCACTACAAACAAACAAAACAAAACAAAACAACAAAAATAGGTAATAAAAGGGAGAAAAATACACACACACAAAAAACTAATAAAATGACAGTAGTAAGTTCAAACCTATTCACAATAACTCTACTTTATGTAGATAAATTAAATTCTCCCATTTAAAAGATATAGACTCGTTAGATATATAGGAAACAAAATAAAACAAACAGAAAACTATATGATACTACAAAGCTTTATTTCAACTGTAAAGACACACATAAACTGGGAACCAGCAAAAAAAAACTAATAAAATGACAGTAGTAAGTTCAAACCTATTCACAATAACTCTACTTTATGTAGATAAATTAAATTCTCCCATTTAAAAGATATAGACTCGTTAGATATATAGGAAACAAAATAAAACAAACAGAAAACTATATGATACTACAAAGCTTTATTTCAACTGTAAAGACACACATAAACTGGGAACCAGCAGTTGGTGTAATGGCTGTCGCTGGACTCCCACGTAGTTGACCGTAGTTCACGTACTGGACCCGGTGGCTTAAAACTCACACCAGGCACATGTGCGTGCATTCCCAAGATCCCAAGAGGAGAATGGAGGAGAAGGGATTGCGGGCATGACCATCCCCCCGGGGGGGTGATTTCTCGCTTTCTGTCTCTATGTCTCTCTCTGTCTGCCTGGCAAGCACACGCACCCTATAGTGAAAACCTCTCCAAAAAAAAAGAAAAGACACACATAAACTGAAAGTGAAAGAATAGGAAAAAGATATTCCAGAGGAATAGAAGTCAAAAGAGGACAGGAGTATGATGGGACTTCAGAAAGTTCCAGGAAAATGGAATTAAATTACAAGATTATTTTGGTAAAAAAAGATTTTGAAATCTGTGCATAGTCTTTACATAATACACATTTTCCATGGCCTTCTGAAGACCCTTCATAGCTATACTGATAATCAGATAAAGTATACCTCAATTAAAAAATGGTTAAAAAAAGACAAATATGGTCATTATATGATAATAAAAGGATAAACCAATAAGAAAATATAAAAATTGTTAATATATGTACATTGAACACAAGGAAACCTAAATATATAAAGTAAATATTATTAGAGCTAAAGGAAAAGGTGAACTCCCATACAACAATAGTTGGAAATACCCAGCACCCCACTGTCAACATAGGACAGATCATCTACATAGAATATCAACAAAGAAACATCAGATTTAAACTGACCATAGACCTAATTTACTTAACAGATACTTACAGAACATTTCCGCCAACAGCTTTAGGATACACTGTTTTCTTTTCTTTCTTTCTTTCTTTTTTTTTTTTTTTTTGAGAGGTTTTGCTATAGGGCGCATGCACTGGCCAGAAAGACAGAGAGAGACAGAGAGACAGAAAGTGAGAAATCACCCCCCAGGGGGGATGAGCACGCCACAATCCCTTCTCCTCCATTCTCCTCTCGGGATTTTGGGCATGCACGCAAACGCACCTGGCATGAGTTTAAGCCATCGGGTCCGGGACACAAACCGCAGTTGGCTACATGAGAGTCCAGTGACATAGCCTTTACGCTAACTGCTGGTCCCAAGGATACACTGTTTTCTTCATCAGCACTCAAATCATTCCCAAGGATAGACCATATATTAGATAACAAAACAAATCTCAAAAAATTCAGAAAAAGTAGAAATTATGTGAAATATATTTCTGACCACAATGGAATAAAACTAGAAATCATTAACAAGAGACCAGCAGGTGGCATAGTGGCTAAGGTGCTGGACTTCCACATGGCCGATCATGGTTCAAATCTCAGACTTGGTGACTTGAAAATCACAATGTGTGTGTGTGTGTGTGCGTGCGTGTGCGTGCATGCTTAAAATCCTGAGAGTAGAATGGAGGATAAAGGATTGTGGCATGGTCATTCCCTTGGGGGTGATTTCTCGCTTTTTATCTTTCGGTCTCTCTCTGTCTTTCTGGCAAGTGCACGTGCCCTATAGCAAAAACCTCTCCAATAAATAAATAAATAAATAAATAAATAAATAAATAAATAAATAACATCTCAATAGATGCAGAAAAAGCATTTTAGGATCCATTGGCTGGCCCATGTACCTCCACATGCACCCATTGGCATGGCTTATTATAATTTCAAGAAGATCACGGTATTGCCATTCACTAAGGACTTTATTGACTTGACATTATCAAAAACTCAACAAAAGATCCTAATGGCTATTCATAAACATTACCCAAATCATCATATTAGACATTTTTACATGAGAAAAGTCAAATTTATTCAACAGAATTGTCACGACAGACTTTCACAGATTCAAATGGGTTTGCCTAAATTGGATAACACTCATCCATTTTATGCTGATTTGATAAATATTCTCCATAACAAGGATCATTACAAGTTGGCTTTTGGACAGATATTTATTTTAAAAATTTAATGGATAATGTTGCTTAAGATTATGTGTGGGCAGATATACACCATCATCAAGAGGCAGAAGCATAGTTTTGAATATTTGGAACAAATGTGTCAGCATTTATCCCATTTGCCAACCATTGATCCAATTACAAAGACTCTGCTTTTGGGTGGGTGCCCAAATGCTGGGAATTTCATTAATAAGGCTTGGAGAGCAGATGTAGATGTTCAACCCTATACATTTATAACCACATTTATATTTGTTGGACACATGGGTTATAAGTATCTGCACTGGCAGGTTGTAGATATCCAGGGATTCCAGATCACCCTTTGGAGGACTGGAGGACCATTGAGATGCAGCCGTCACTGCCCTGGCCCACCTGTGTGCTGCGATGTTGTATATGACCGACCTGTCAGAGCAGTGCAGACACTAGCTGCAGGAGTAGCTGGAGCTCTTCCAGAACATCAAGTCTCTTTTCATCAACAAACCTCTAATCGCTGTAGTGAACTAATGTAATGTGAAGAAAATAGCCTTCTTGAAGATGATCACAAAATATTTATAGCTTTGCAGGCTGAAGGACTTCCTGTAATACAGACCAGCACCCTGACTGAGGAAGGTGTCATTAAAGTCAAAACAGAGGCTTATGACAAACTTTTGACTCATCTACTGAAAATTAAAATGAAGGAAAACAAGGAGAATAAAGTGCTGAATAGATTGCATTTAGCTGTGCCAAACAAGAGGGATGATAAGGAGAGGCCTCCTGTCATTCCAGAAGAAGTTGTGGCATGACAGAAGAAAATGGAAATTGAGGAGCCCAAGAAAACAAGGGAATAAGATATTTTGCTGGAAATGGAATATGATTATATTTTGGACCTTCAGAAGTACTGGATTTAATACATTTACCTGAGAAATATGATAACAGAGATAGTTTAATGGCTATGTCACTGGACTCCCATGTAGTTGACAGCAGTTCAAGTTCTGGACCTGGTGGTTTAAACTCATGCCAGGCACATGTGCATGCGTGCCCAAGATCCTGAGAGGAGAATGGAGAAGGGATTGCGGCGTGGTCATCCCCCCTGGGGGATGATTTCTCGCTTTCTGTCTCTCTGTCTCTCTCTGTCTTTCTGGCGAGTGCATGCACCCTATAGCAAAAACCTCTCTAAAATAAATAAATAAATAAATGAATAAATAAATAAATAAATCCTATGACAGTGTAATATGACAATGAATCTGAAAGTGAAGATGAAGGCATGGTGGAAATCTGGCAGCTGGCAAAGCAAATTAGAGAAAAAAGGAAGTGGAAAAATCTGTAATTCATAAAAAGACTACAAAAGGACCTAGGATGCCTTGAGCCGCTAAGAAGGTTCAGTGGACAGTTTTGGAGACATGGACGATAAAGACAACACCCACTATGCAGTCCAGGCAAGGTGATTCCAGTGTGTTACAAGGAAAAGAAAACAGGGAGACTCTGCAACACTCTTGTCTGTAGCCCAGAGTCGAAGATGCTTTTGAACACCACGGGATATTTCTGGTCTTCAGGATGTCAAGATGGTGAAGAAAGTCAAGACTGTGATAAACAATGCTCAGAAGAAGATGACTCGCTTAGGGAAAAAAAAGGGGAGGGAGATAGACATGTGTTTGACATGAAACCCAAGCACTTACTCTCTGGAAAGAGGAATGCTGGTAAAAAGGTCAGGAGATCGTGTTCTTTTAGGTTGACATGGTTTGACTA